GGTGCTCCTCTCACGCTCCAGCTTTCTGAGCTTGCCCATTATTGAAGCAGCAAAGCTTGCACTCGCCGCCCAAGCGTCCTCGTTAGCGAGCATGTTCGCCACAAAATTCGTCGCCGAGGGAGGGGTTCCAGTAGTCGCCTCCCATCTCAGTCTTTCCGCTTCAAAACGAGGGCATTCGAAGGCTGCGTGGTTAGCATCTTCAATTACTCCTCGGCAGGCGGGACACTCCGCACTGGAGTCGTGCCCGAATCTCTGGAGGTAACTTCTAAAGCAACCATGGCCGCTTAGGAGTTGCGTTAGATGAAAATCAACCTGCCCGTGCGTTCTGTTTATCCACAGTGATACGTCGGGTATTAATAGGTGGGTCCATCTGCCTTTGGACGAGGCATTCCAACGCTCTTGCCACACGCTGATAGTTGTTCGTCTAGCCACCGCCCGCGCGGATCTGCGAGGCTCTCCAGCTGCAATTTCGTGAAGTTTGCGGGCTTCTCTGATGAGGAGGTCAATAGGGGTCATCCCTGCGATCACTAACACGGCGTCATCCGAAATCGTCCGGAAGCCGCTGCAGACGCGGAGTGCGCTCAGCCGATACGTTGCTACGAGGTCCCTGACGTAACTTTTCCTGGTTACCGCGGCAACCCATATTGGTGCCGCATATAACATTATCGACTTCGTTACGCTCATCAGAAGTAATCTTCGTCCTTGCTTGGGGCCACGCGTGTTGGCCATTATTCGCGACAGCGCCCGTGTTACCTCCGCAGCTTTCTTGTTTGTTTGCTCCAGATGTTCACGAAAGCATAGCCGTGTGTCCAACCTGACTCCAAGGTATGTAATGGAGCGCTTGGAAGGAACTAGTAGACCTCCGATGCGAATGTGCGCCTGTTCTACGGTTTTGCGACTGCTGATGAGCACTACCTCAGTTTTGCCAGCCGCCAGTTCGAGGCCAACCGTGGACAGCCAACTCATTATGGTTACGATGCATCGATTGCATGCGTCCTCCACAGCCCTGATCTCTTTTGCAACGCCTACAATCGCTGTGTCGTCTGCATAACCCACTAGTTCCGTGCCAGGCGGTAACTGAAGGCAGAGAATTCCGTCGTACATGACGTTCCAAAGCAGCGGCCCTAAGACCGACCCTTGAGGAACTCCAGCGACGACATTAACGGTTTTGGTGCCTGATGAGGTATGATATCTAAGTAAGCGATTGCTAAGGTAACTTCTAATGGAGCGTACTAAGTGCGATGGTATCTTCTGAGCTGCAAGTGCGTTGAGGATGCATCCCCAATCTGCCGAGTTGAACGCGTTTTTGACGTCGAGGGTCACCACAAGGCAGTACTCCTTTGATCCACCTTTCCACCTGTTGCCTGATATCGCCTTAGATGCGATGTCCACCACTTTGCTGATTGCGTCAATCGTGGACCTCGATTTCCTGAACCCGAATTGGTTTGGAGATAGGCCGATGGCTGCCTCGAGTCTCACGCACAGCAGTCTCTCCAGCACCTTACCGATTGAGTCCAGGAGACAAATCGGCCTGTACGACGAGGGGTCTTCAGATGGCTTGCCAGGTTTTGGCAGCAGGACTAGGTTCTGCACCTTCCAGCAATCTGGGAATATTCCTTCTCTGATGCACTTTCCAAAGAAAGCGGCGAACGTCTCGGGGTGCATGCACAATGCCAGCTTGAGGGCGCGGTTCGGTATTGCGTCTGGGCCCGGCGCTTTGTTGGGCTTCAGGCTGCGAGCGGCTAGTATCACTTCATCCGTCGTGACGTCGTCAATGGTGGGCGATAGTGCGTCTGTGGTGTGTGGTATCAGCACTGGCGTCTCTGGTCTCGAGGGGAAAAGAGTTGCGACAATCCGAGCGAGGTTCTCGGCATCCAGGGGTGCACCGCGTCCGCCAGCATGAATGCGCTTTACTACCAGCTTATACGCCTTCCCCCAGGGATCCTGTTCTGCGGAGTCGCACAGCTCTAAAAAAACATCTCTTCTTGCTTGCTGAGATAGCCTTTTTCAGCAGTCGCCTAGACTCCCGGTAGGTATCCTGCCTGAGCGAGAACAAGGGCGAACCACGTGCTGTCTGGGCCCCTCTCCTTGCACTGATGCATGATCTGCGTAATGCTGCGATGTCATTATTCCACCAGTAAACTGGGACGTGGTGGCGCCTGTACGTCGAGCGTCTAACCATGCTGGCGTCGCATGCAGCTCGAATTTGGGACGCGGCGTCTAGAGCCATGGTCTGCGGGTCCCCGGAGAGACAAAAACCGCTAAGGGCTCTCGCAAATGACGCTGGGCAGAATGACTCCAGCTTGTATGCCACGTTGTCGGGCGGTGGATTCGTAGGGTTGCGAGATGTATCGCCGACTGTAACTATGATGGCCACGTGGTCGCTTGCCGTATAAGCGTCGCTTATAGTCCACTTGGTATGGCTGTGGAGGGAGCTGCTTGCGTACGTCAGGTCGATAATGGAACCGATACCTGCTCTGCTGAATGTGTGTCGCGACCCAGTATTCAGAAGCGTCAGATCCAGCCCTGAAAAAGCTTCAAGTACTGTGCGACCTCGAGCTTTAGTGACGTTGCTGCCCCATTCAACTGCCCATGCGTTAAAGTCTCCGCCTATTATGACTCGACTGCGTCCCCTGGCGTCGTCTACTAAAGCGTCTAAAGCCGCAGCAAACTCCGACAGAGATAGACTGGGTGGAAGATAGCAGCTGTAGACCCACAGGTCTGCAACTTTAGCTCTCACAAAGAAGTTTCCAGCTTTTGGTTCTGAAAAGGTGAGCTCTCTAGAACCACAGAGCCAAAGAGCAGCCTTACCGGACAGATCCGCGGCCCATTTGTTGCTACTGCTGGTTTTGTATGGCTCACTTAGTATCGCCAGGCTGATGCTCTCCTCGTTGATTGTCTGCAGCAGCAGGTCCTGCGTTGCGATGCAATGGTTGAGGTTGAGCTGAAGGATCCTTAGCATCTTGTTTGTCTTACGGCCTCTTTGTATGCCGGACATTTGAAGCTGCCAGTGGCGTGGTCAGTCGATGGTAGACTCTTCTTTGCGCACAACAAGCATTTCGGACTGTTTGCGCAGCTTCTGGCTAGATGCCCCTTTTCACCGCACCTGTAACAGGCATCTTTAAGGTCCTCAACGCTGTTACACCTTGCTGCCATGTGACCGAAGCCGAGGCATTTGAAGCAACGTGTTGGTCGGATAACTCCTCGGCTGCGGCAGATAACCCATCCTACCCGTACTTTCCCTGCTTCTATCAGCACTCTTGCCTTCTCCACAGGGAGCGCTAGTAAAGCTATCTGCTGTCCGCCGTTCACCTTGCGTATTGACTTTATTGCATCTGAACCGATGTTAAAGTCCTCTCCAATTGACCTGAGCGCTTCCAGAATCTCCTCTTTCGTGACCAGCTCGTCCAGATCCCGGATCTCCAGCTGGGTCTCCTCCACTAGCGGCTTGACTACAGCCATGCCCTGTAATGCCGCCTCCACAGCTTCGTGCAGCCTCCCAATGTCATGGGAAGGTGATCTGCTCATTTGTAAAAGCAGACTGCCGTTGCCCGTTCTTCTGATGCTCTGAATGTCGTTCTTTAATGGCTGCAAATCTGGTGCTGATTTTACTGCCTTTAATATGTCAGCATACTGGGCTTCCCCTACACCTTTGGCTATGATAGCATCCGGTCTGCTGGGCTTTGTCCGAGCCTGGCGGTGGACCTTCGTCCAGGCATTGGCCTTGGGAGCGAGAGTGGAATCGGTAGGATTGCCATTTCCCTTCACTGCCTGTGCGAAGTCCTTCGGCAAGGAGGCGGGGGCCTGGTCACTCGTAGTTTGCGATGCGGTGGCAGGCTTCTGGTCCCGCATCTTGTGTTTTTTTGGCGGGGTAGCGCGCTGGGTGCTCCTGGGGTCTCTAAGCCTTTTCGGGGTGCCCGTTTGAGGTTGACTGGACACTTTAGGCCAGGGCTCTGCTGTTTGTACGCCGATTTCGCTGTAGGACGGCTTCACTCCTGTGCCTGACCAGTCGATCTTGCTGTATATCGAGCTATACAGCCTCAACATTTCTGCAAACAGCTCTTTGTCCTGCTGGTTGACGTGACGCTTATGTTGGCCTTCGAAAAGGCGGCAAACGGACTGCAAGTGGGTACCCAGCTCCTGCATCTCTGTCTGGGCGGCGGTTGGTTGGGCTGGAAGGCCGCTTGGCACCGTTTCTGCCGGCAGAGGCGAGGCCGGTAAAGGCGTTGTAGGCAATGTCGTTGCCAGAGGCGTTGAAAATGGCGTGTTTGGCGTGTTTGCCGGCTCGGCTGAGTTTGCTACGCACAAAGATGCTGAAGGTGAGCATAGTAGTGGGAAGCTCTGAAGGGCCACTGACGGTGGAGCTGACTTTGGTGGTGATCTGGCCACCAAGGACCTACGCGCGAAAGGGTTCACGCCGGTTACCATTTCATTGGTTTTAAGCCAAAGCTCGTCACCTAAGGTAGCCAGCGGAGGACCTTGCGAAAATGGGAGAGGCGCCTCCAAGTGGGACTTTGGTTGTGCTGTCCCGTTACCGCCCTGTGTGCTACGGTGTGATTCTTGCAATTGTTGCACCCCCGGTGGCTGGTCGGTGGGAGCCACCTTCTGCAGCCCATGCGGTTGTGCGTCTGTCATCGAGGCAGGTTCTTAGCGAGTTCCCTCGGTGGTCAGGAATTTCTTCTTGACAGGATGGGGGTTATCCCGCCCCTGCTCGGTCGCCAGAGCCCCAATCAGGTACGCCGCCGATGCGGTAGGGGTTGGAATATAGCCCGTCCGGCCTTTGTACAACTCGCCTTAAACTCAGCCCCAAAACTTCCAGCTCCTAAAAGGCTGCACCGAGATTTGGTGTATGAAATGCGAATTGCCGAGTGATCCTAAAAGTATGCAGCGCTAGTGCTGCAATTCCCTTTGCCGTGACCGCCCTCTGGTGACTAAGCCTGGCGTCCTTTTGTGGACCAGCTGGTCGGCTTACAGATGGCAAGGTGCAACTCTACGTCAGCTGGGCAGCAGCCAGCTGTTTAAAATGCAACTGTGCGGCTGCCAATATCGAATGGGCAAAACAGATGGGAAAAAGGAAAACGAAAACGTATACTCACGCCCGGCCTGCTTGACCAACGTAAGAAACGCGTCTGGAGGGGTCAAAGTCCAGGTCGAAGTTCAGTCACCGGCGCCCAAAGGCTCAACAGTGGAACAGGAGCAACACTTGTCCAACCTTGTGTCTGGGACGGTGGTGAGTACCTTTCGCACTCTGGAAACTACCGTATTGTGTGTTAAAAACAATTTCTTACAGCCAACTTGCTACAATAAAAGGGTGGAAACTGACGATCGAACAAAAACACGTCCGCACGCTCACTTTCGCGTTCGTATCCTCCTGTGTGTGTGTGTGTGTGTATGTATACTTAGCTGTCCCCAACTGTTTGAATTTTTTATTGTTTGTTCTGCCTGCATTTGTAAAATTCATATTTTGAAAATCTTTGAACGCAAAGTTGTAGATTTAGTTACGTAGATTACAGTCCCCAAATTTGAAATCGACCGGAGAACATTTATAACACAAACTTTTCATTTGAAAAGGTGAATAAATATTAAAACCCCAATAATTCAAGTTCCACCACAAATTTCGAAAATCCGGGTATGCAGTTTTGTTTGTATTCTTTTATAGATTATAAAAATCAAATTTAAATTGATCGGTGCAGAAATGCAGAATTTTCAAACAAACTTTGGAGCTCGTTTTCCCCCTTTTGGAGCTTGAATTTTCCAAAATCCCTTATTAGTGGGCACCTTCACTATGACAGGATCCTTGAGCCCAAATTTCAGCTTCTTAGCTCTTGCCGTTGGGCTGTGGGCTGTTGACGCGGTTTCCTTTTGTGCCCCATTTTTTTCAAATTTCAAAAAACCAAGTATACAGTTTTTCTTGGAAAGAGAGAGTATACAAACTAAGTTTAAAGTTAAACAGATGAAAATTGTAGATTTTTCATGCAAACTTTGGAGCTCGATTTCTCCCTTTGGAGCTCGAATTTTGCAAAATCCCTTCTTAGTGGGCACCTACACTATGAAAGGATACTTAAGTCAAAATTTCAGCTTCCTAGCTTTTACCGTTTGGGCTGTACGTTGATCACCAATCAGTCAGTCAGGACAAACTGTTTTATATATATAGAGATATACACATTATCCACACGTATATAACCTAAACCCTAACACCACATACCGGCACAGCATATATTTGCCGCGCCTGGTCATATTTACTATACATACATATATGCGTTGTTTGCGTTTTATCCATTTCCACTAACCCATAACACAAACTTCGCACCATTTCCTTACCGCGCCATCATCAGCCAACACATCTATTGGCATACACATTTATTGCCAGACCTGCGGGCAACGAACCAAGCCATTGTCTTTTTACTACAAGAGGCAACAATCTTTTGTTTCGCTTAAAAATTTTAATTGCCCAATTAAGCAACAAGTGGTGTGCATTCTCGCAGAATTGGACTTATCGGGAATAGTCAAAGTCACAGTTATCGAAAATTGGAGTGTGAGCAAATACTAGTCGCGGTCACGAGTAGCAGATAATTAATTAATTAATTTCGATAAGCCAGTGGTATTCAATGCCTCCAGTCCCTCCTCCAATGGGAAGAGTTTAATGTCTTACATCCTGGACCGGTCCTTCAGTCTGACCTGATCCTGCAGGTGCTGAAGTGGCGGTTCTCCCGGTACGTTTTCAGCACCGACATCCAAAAAATGTATCGACAAATACAAGTCGACCCTGAACACACTCCGTTTCAGAGGATCCTGTTCCGCAATCTAGACTTGTGCGACTACGAATTGGACACTGTCACCTTTGGGGTGAACTGTGCGCCTTTCTTGGCCATCCGAGTGCTTCAGCGGCTCGCCGAAGACTCACAAGCGCAGTACCCACTGGCCAGCCGAATCATGAACGAATTCATGTACGTGGACGATGTGCTATCGCGCATTCGCGACAGGACACGCTGTCATCGATTGGGCAACTTCAGAAGGCTTTTGAAGCTGCCGGTTTTCTGCTCCGGAAATGGACGGCAAACGAGAAGGAGCTTTTGCGGAGTCTCCCGGTAGAGCACCTGTTGCGGGCCGACTTTTTGGACCTGGAAGAAGCCAGCTTGACCAAAACACTGGGCATTCGCTGGAAGGCCACCACCGACGATTTCCTCTTCGTTGTAAATGACATGGAGAAGGAGCTGCATTTTACAAAGCGCACGGTCCTGTCTCAAAATTTCGAAACTGTCTGATCCAGCAGGCTGGCTGGCCCCGGTCATCGTGCAGTCAAAAATATTCATGCAGGAGATTTGGTTAAGCGGAATAGGATGGGACGATCCGCTCCCCTCTGGACTCCTCCAACGGTGGAACGAGTTTCTCCAGACCTACCCAGAGCTGGACCAGATCCGAATCCCGAGATGGGTCGATTTCCGTCCTGATTGCCTGTTTCAATACCACGGTTTCTGCGACGCGTCACAACGGGCGCACGGAGCCGAACTCTACGTCCGAGTAGAGTTCCGCCATGAAGTCCGAGTCCATCTCCTTACAGCAAAAATGAGAGTGGCCCCAACCAAAATGGTGTCACTGCCACGTCTGGAGTTATGTGGCGCAGTTCTATTGGCCGACATGTGTGCTTCGATCCTGCCACACCTTCTGCTCAGTAGCTTTCCGACTCAGTGTTGGACGGATTCCACCATTGTGCTGGCCTGGTTGCGCAAGCCCGCTTGCAGCTGGACTACTTTTGTGGCCAATCGAGTGGCTAAAATTTTCCAAGCCACGAACAAGGAGGATTGGTTCCACGTGCGCTCTGAACACAATCCCGCCGACCTCGCGAACCGAGGAGTCTCTCCGCAAGATCTAAGAGACAGCGACTTGTGGTGGCGCGGGCCGGCATGGCTCGTGACGCCGAGAGAGAATTGGACTGCTCAAGAGCAGCCCCCACAAGAGACAGACATGGAACAACGCCGCGTCCAAACGCATCTCGCCACCCTGCCTTCAGCTCCAGAGTTTCTTGAGCGATTCTCCGACTTCGGGAGAGCGCTTAGGGTCATGGCGTACATCCAACGGCTTGTGCAAGGCTGCCGGAAGGCTTCTTCTCCGTCCTCCATGGAGCTGACATACCAGGAGCTGGTCCGGACCCAGCAGATCCTAACGATTTGCACCCAAAGGAAGGAATATGCCCTCGAATACGGCGTCTTGTCAAACCGAAAGAAGATATCCTCCGGCAGCTTCATCTTCAACTTAAATCCGTTTATGGATGATCTCGGTATCATCCGGGTATGCGGCCGACTGTCTTCCTCCGACGCGCTCACCTACGACGAGCGACATCCGGTTATTTTGCCGTACAGCTGCGCCTATTCACGGCTCCTAGTCCGTTTCGTCCATCGACTATCCCTTCATAGCGGAAACCAGCTGACGGTCTGCCTCATCCGGGCGAAATATTGGATCCCCAAACTGCGGAGTTTGGCCAAGGCTACCATCAACTCGTGCAAGGTCTGCGTCATGTATAAAAAGCGACTGCAGACCCAGCTGATGGGCAGCCACAAGCGCCACAAATGGCAGCAGCTGCAGGAGGACCTCAAACCGGGCGCCATGGTCATTGTCAAAGAGGACAATATTCCTGCGAACGAATGGCGCCTCGGTAGGGTCCAAGCGTCGCACCCAGGTCCAGATGGCAAGGTCCGGGTGGTCGACATCCAAACGGCGCGCGGCGTCATCCAACGGCCCGTCGCGAAACTCGTCCTACTCCCTATGCTTTCCTAAATCTCCACTAACACACTGCTTGCCACTTCCCTTTCCGTTTAGACACAAGCACTCATACTTTCTTTATACCCACAGACTACCAACATGCCATCTCATCGCCCAGTCCGCTCCTCTGCCACTCGTCAGCCAAGGGGACTGAACTCCTACCGATGCAGGATGTGTCGTGGTGTACACGCCCTTAAGAAGTGCCCGCGGTTCCTGAACCTGCCTCCCGTCAAACGTGCCCGTGCAGTGGGCATCAACCAGTACTGCCGGAACTGCCTCGCACACGAGCACACGGGCGGCGTCTGTCGCAGTGGATCCCGGTGAAAACTCTGTGGGGCATCGCACCACACTTTGCTGCACGTCGACTCGTCGCCGCGCTAACCACCCAGCTGCAACACAGCACCTCCTCCATCGTCACCAGACACCAGCTAGCCGTCGCCTCCACGCGCTCTGGCTCACAGCAGGACGCCATTGCCTCCTCGCGCGTGCGGTCATCCCCGCACGCCGTCGCCAGATCGCGCCCCGCGATATGTTCAAGCGCCGGTCCAGCGCCCAACCTTGTGGGGCAAGAGTGTCCTGTCTACCGCCTCGGTTTTCATGACGAGCAGGAGTAAGCGATGGGAGGTGAAGGTTCTACTCACCGCCTGCTCACGGACCAGTACCATTCGCAGGGCACTCATGCGGGCGCTTGGCTGGACATCATTCTCCTTGGACGGGACGGAAGTGTGCCGTGCTGAGGTCGAGTCCAGGGCGTCTAGGTGGCGTCAGTAGTGGTGCTAGTAGTGGTGACGGACCTCGCACATCGCACCCCCCAGCGGCGCATTACAGAGCCAGCGGATGGCCAATATGGCAATGTGCGCCTGGCGGACGAACGCTGGAACACCCCAAGCACGATATCCGTCGTGCTCGGGGCAGAGATTTACCAAGAAATCCTCCTACCAGGCGTTCTGGCGGCCAGCCACGGATTCCCTGCAGCATTCCAGACCCAGCTGGGCTGGGTCCCCGCTGGCGCGCTCCCCCAGAAGGCACCGGCTTTGCATCCTGCAGAGGGGGGGAGGATGTTGGTGTGGCAGCGCTCTGCTGGCAACATTCCTGGCCGGCTGGAAACACCTGCCAGCAACATCTGCTGGCACATCTCTCCCCCACGCGCTAGTTAAGGGCATAAAATGTACCTAGGTTAAGGGCAGTCTGAAAATTTTGACTAATTGAATAATACATACGTGCGGAAGAGCACAGTAAAATTGAAAAGCCGCCATTTTATTTGCCTGTGGACCTTTGACCTCTGACGCGCTGCCCCTTTTTACACCGGCCAACGAGCTAAAACACTCGTTCGACATGCTTTTGGATCGTGCAAAAAGCTGTATTTAAGCAGAAGGAGACTATTTTGAATAAAATAAATTGATTTTGCCAAAAAAAAACCATTTGTTCTGTTTTTATATCCTGTACCCAAAGGGTGAAAGGCTATACTAGTTTTGTGCGCATATATGTAACACACAGAAGGAGGCGTGGCAGACCCCATAAAGTATATATATTCTTGATCAGGATGAGAAGACGAGTCGATATAGCCATGTCCGTCTGTCTGTCTGTCCGTCTGTCTGTATGAGCGCAAGGATCTCAGTAAGTACAAGAGCTAGGATAACCAAAATTGGTATCAAGGTTCCTATAAGCCCTAGGCCCCCACTCACCCACAATTCGTATTTTTTCTTATAACTTCCGTAATTCTCGGAATTTTAAAATCAATTTTGGTAGGTACATCTAGTTAGTACTAATGTGTCCGTGTGCCAAATTTCATCATGAAAGGTCAATTCTGAAGAAAGATATAGCCATAAGTAAAATCGCCGTCTGTCCGTCCGTCCGTCCGTCTGTATGAGCGCAAGGATCTCAGAAGGTACAAGAGCTAGAATGACAAAACTTCGTATCCAGGTTCCCCTGTTCCCTAGTCAGGTCAAGTTTGTTTTTTAATTTTGATACACCCCCCACTCTCTCGCAATTCGTGTTTTTTTTTATGACTTCCGTAATTCTTGGAATTTTGAAATCAATTTTGGTAGTTACATCCAGATAGTGCTTATGTGTCCGTGTGAAAGGAAGTTCTAGCCATAAATAAAATCGTTGCTCATGCGCTGCTTGCAGCTGTTGTTTGTTTGGTTCAACTTTGTGCTGCATACATACACGCATATAAACACGCATAGGCACGTGATGTAAATGTATGCTGTTAAAAATGAACATTAATATGTCTTCTAATTGAATTGAATTAATTAATTAATAAATTCAATTTTTTTTTTAATTTTTCTGGGGAAAATCACCTTGACGGAAGGCAGAATTGCTGTAACTACAACTCCGGGTCTCTAGCTCTCAGCCAAATACAGTGCAAAGTCTTCTTCCTACGTATCCTGCCAGTGGAGCAGACCCTCAATTTACTCAAATGGCAAAATCCTGAAGTGCCGACTGCCGATTGGCAGGTGCTACATGCAAAGTCTGATAACAAGGGTCAGCATGTGGTCCTGCAAATCAGCAAAGAAGGTGAGGATTTGCTGTATCCGAGATTCGGAAAGATGGACAGCCCTCTCAACCTCGACAAGGAGAGCACAATGGACGAAGCTGAGTCTTCCGTGTACGGCGACACAACGCTGGTCGGTGAAACGGCGTCGGAAGCCACGCGACCGCAGAAGAAGGAGTCCTTCAACACTGCAGATACTACAAATAAATCTGCATTAGAGCAAGCTGGCGTCGGCAGAGCTCCTTCTAGCCCTGGAGGAAGGACTTGCCGACGTGGCCTTGGTCCAAGAGCCTTGGATAGCGTCGGGAAACAAGGTCTCTGGGCTAAGAACCCCCAGCTTCACCACGCTCCACCCGACAACAGTAAGTAGAACAAGAACAACCATCCTCGTGAGGAAAGGTATCTACTCGTACTTATTGTCTAATTTCAGCACGGATGATCTCACAGTTGTGGCGATTGAGGATGGCAAGGGCAGCCGATGCTCTTGGCTTCCTGTTATGGGGCACCCCAGATACCAATGGCAGAGGTGAGTCACTCTTAAACTTCATATTACTTAATAGCATAAGTATGGGAAACGTAGAGGAGGTACCCATTTACGTGGGACCAACCTCTTCCAACGTTCTCGATCTAACGCTTTTCTATGGCGCGGACGCGAAAATATCTGAATGGAGAGTTCTTGACAGACCATAAATATATTCTATACAAAGCCAATTTCCGTCAAGACCAACCAAGAGCATCGTTTAGAAACCCCCGGAACACAAACTGGGAAAGGTTCAGAACGATACTGAGTATGGGTCTAGCCTCACCACATATTATAACGTCAGTGGAGGGTACTGAGAAGTCTGTAAAGACGCTCACCCGAAACCTGAACATTGCCTACGAGAAAGCATGCAGACCCTCTAGAAGCCGGAAAAACCATGGTGCCCATGGTGGACCCCGTGGACCCCATGGTGTCCAGGAACTCTTCAGCCTCGCCAGGCAAGCGGATGAAGAAGTGGTCTGGAACGAATACAGAACACTACTCAGGAACTTCAAAAAAGAGGTCAAGAAGGCCAATAGGGATTCTTGGAGATCCTTTTGCGGTAATATAGAAAAAGAGAAAGAAACAGCGAGACTCAGGAAACAAAGTCAGCTCATGAAAGAAGACGGTTCTTGGACAGAAGACAGGAGAGAAGCAGAGGTCGCTTTACTAGAGACGCACTTCCCGGGCTGTATGGAAGTACAGGAAGCAACAAGGGACTTATGGGACTAGGATCCAAAGCACCCAAACAACGCTACCATCTAAACTCATCACGCTGTAGAAGATCGGGTGGGCCTTGGACTCCTTCGGGAGTTACAAGTCCGCCGGACTAGATGGCATATTCCCAGCTATGCTGAAATCAACTAGAGAAGAGGTAGCCCCCTGGCTACTCTCACTATACGAAGCATGTCTGAGGTTTTGCTATGTACCAGTAACTTGGAGGACTGCACGGGTCATATTTTTGCCGAAAGCAGGCAAATGCAGTCACGTGCAGCTGAAAGACTACAGGCCGATAAGCCTTACCTGATTCCTGCTAAAAACACTAGAAAAGCTTCTGGAGCTCCACGTAAGGGAGAGTCTCTACCCACCCTTGGAACCCAACCAACATGCCTAATCTAAAGGGAAATCAGTGGATACAGCGCTACACTCCCTGGTAGCCTGCATAGAAAAAGCTCTCCACCATATAGACTTTGCAATGTGAACGTTCTTAGACATCTCTGGTGCATTCAACAAAGTGTCAACAGATACTATCATGCGAAGTCACATGGACTCAAAACTTGCTGGGCAACAGACGAGCCCATGTGGAATCACAATCATAACCAAGAGGGTACATGGAGGCACATCACAAGGTGGAGTCCTATCGCCGCTACTTTGAATTCTAGTGGTTGACGAACTCCTCAAACAACTTCGCGGGAAAGCCCCAAAGATAACTGGCTATGCTGACAACATAAGCATAATTATCATGGGAAAGTGTCCATCGACTATCAGCTCAGTCATGGCCACAACTCTGCAAGAAATACTAAGGTGGGCAACAGGCGTAGGACTAAGTATCAACGCAGATAAAACGGACCTCATTCTCTTCACAAAGAAATACAAGGTACCAAGATGGAACCCACCGAGGGTGAACAGAACCCCGCTCACCTCGAAAAAGGAACTCAAATACCTCGGCATAGTATTGGACATCAAACTGACATGGAGGGCCAATGTCGAAGAAAGAGTGAAGAAAGCAACAAATGCTCTCCATGCATCGCAAAAGATGCTGGGTAGCACTTGGGGCCTCTCACCAAAACTAACGAGTTGGATCTTCATATCAGTGGTCCGTCCAATACTGTTATACGGGGTATTGGTATAGTGGCAAGCCACAGAGAAGTCCACATACTTGAAACTGATGGAGAAAACTCAGCAGCTGGCACTCGTATGCATCTCAGGAGCGCTGAGAACCACCCCGACCAAAGCTCTAGAGACGTTACTCGGAGTCACTCCGCTTGACATCCACGTGCGCCTACTTGCGAAAAAGACAGCTCAAAGACTTTGCGCAATAGGAAACTTCGTCTTACAGGGTTACGAACACAACTCGATCGGCAGGGAGCTTCACAGTAGTACAGACTACACTGCCCCGCAAGCAAGATTCAAGCACACGCCAACATCAATGGGACTGGCGGAAATGCCTGAACCGACGCGCAACCAATATATTTACGGATGGCTCCAAGATGGAGGCAGGAACCGGGGCGGCAATATACTGTGCAGAGCCAGTACTCAAACACTCGTATAAGCTGCCAGACCACTGTAGCATCTTCCATGCGGAAGTATTCGCCATAGGGAAGGCTGCAGAGGAAGGCTGCACTCCAACTGCAAAACACAGAACAATGCATCAACATCTTCGTGGACAGCCAAGCAGCCATTAAATCACTACAGGCGCCAATCATCAACTCCAAAACGGTCTTGGCAAGCAGGGAATCCGTGGATAGATTAAGCGCCTGGAAGAAGGTGCACATCTATTGGGTCCCCAGCCACCAGGGCATTGAGGGCAACGAGATGGCGGACACTCTAGCTAAGCAAGGTATCGATCTGGCCCGGACCGATATGAACTACCTACC